TCTGAAGGTAAAAGCTTGAAACAGAGCCGCCGTCATAGTCGCTTTCCCCGCGACACCCTTCAGCTCTATTAGCAGTTAGCTATGAAGGCCCTCGGTACTTGACTGATGCTTCATGGCTAACTCACGGCGGTCACTGTGGGCGGTTCTCCTTCCTTTTCTTAATTGAAAGTAATTATTAATTCATTAATTTTAAGTTTTAGGGCGAGGACATTGCTGTGAGTGGATACAATGCTAACGACCAAGCGTCATTTACACCAGAAAACCGGTGCAGCTGTTTAGAAGCGAAATGTTCGTGATGTCCCTTAGACAGACAGATATTTGCAGTTACAACAACGGAGTAGAACTCGAAAAACGTGTTTTGTTTCTTTAAAGTTGTTGCTTTTAAGTACTAACAACATTGACGTTTTGTGTCATATTATGTAGTCTGTGCAAAAGTCTGAAACACAAAGATGTATGCTAATCTTCGTGGAGTCTGAGTCGAGGTTGTTTTGGTGATGTGTGCAGGAAGTCTTCTGCAGAGCACCTGCGGCGGACGCAGCACCAGATATCCAAAGATGACAGACGACTTGGACATTGAAGCGATGTTGGAGGCTCCGTACAGGAAGGTGAGCTGCTCCTTGTAGTTGGTGTTTGGAACTCAAGACTCTGCTGCTCCCCTCACTGTGGATGTTTCTGACAGTCATGATAAAAAACAAAAAAACAAAATCACTGTCATGAGTCTTCTAGAAGAAAATCCTTTACTGTGTGTTGAAATAACAGCAACCCATGTAACTGACTATTACACGAAGCTAGTTGTTGTGAATTGACTTGTATCTAGAGTTCTCTGTTTAAAAACACTGAACGCCTAAAAGTCTAAAATAACCCTTAAGCAGGTTTTTACTGGATTAAAACGGCAGTGTGTGAGAGGTTTATTTGTGAGCAGCAGAGTCCAGCTGATGATGGTTTTGATAATGTTGATGTTAATGGCGTCCCGCCAAAGACTGTCATGAATAAATGCACATCTATCTCTCTTTGTAGACTTGCCTAACGATTTCTCACCTCTACTCCCCTGAATCCAGTGTGATCTGTCACAAACATGAAGGTAGTAAAAAAAA